ATGACGGTTCCGAGACCAGAAACCCGTGTAGCAAAATTATGGAAAATAAAGCATAATATTTAAAAAAAATCCACATTACAACCAAAAACGTTTGCGGTACCTCTCTTGTTTTTAATATACACACTTTTCTCTCGTTGGAACCATTATAACCTCTTTTTTATATATATATATATATATATATATATATATATATATATATATATATATATATATATATATATATATGCCGAGTGTAACAGGAAAATTTCCAATAGTTTAACAGCATAATTATCCATCCCAATAAATGCCTAATATGTAAAAAAACACTAAACTAATTGAGTTTCTTTTTTCAAAGTTTTCAGATATCAGGTCTAACAATCTTGACAACATTTGTCGTAAGAATCACTGAAAAACCCTTTGAGTTATTCAGCTACAAAGAGAATAGGTTAAAATCATTTTGTGTCAGCCTAACTATGTCTTCCCAAATTAGTAATGGTGAGAGGAAAAAGATTATTCAGTCCATTCAAGAAGCTTCAAGAGAACGGTGAATAAGTTTTAAAAACACGGAACAGTAGAGAGGAAAACTGGATCAGGAGGTCCGAAAGAGGGATCGTCATTTCAACTTAGAGCTAAAGAGATCAATTAGAAAAGATCCAAAGATAAAACGTTTGGCATGTGATAGAGTAGTTTCAGCTATGACAGTCCAAAGAACAGCGAAAAAAAGACTTGAAAATGAAGTCATACGTGAAATCTGTGAGACAACTTGTTACTCCAGCAGAGAAAGTTAGAAGGTTAGAGAGAGCAAAGATCATCTTGAATAAGTTGAGAAATGATCATGGAATGATATATATATATATATATATATATATATATATATATATATATATATATATTTTTGAATTTATTTCATTATTTCATGAGCTGCCGATCCTTATCTATGATTAATAATGAACATATTTTCTTTTATGATCGATTTCATCACGATACTTCTGTTGAGCTTAGAGAGTAATTATACATTATTATATTTCGAAGTAGAGTCCAATAATGTTATAAAAAAAACTCGGAAAATTCCAGTAAGATATCTTTAATCTTTTTTAAGATAAAATGGTTCAAAACTTTTACACAATTTGGACAATTTTCCTGTTACACCCGGTTTCTGCACGCTAGTTCGCTGTTATTTTTATTTACCACATAAATATTTACGTAGGTTGTCCAGGCTTATTCTTCAGAGGATCTTGAATGCAAAACGTGCACAGTAGTGAGCACCCTGGCGTGCTTGTAAAATCCAAACCGCACAACCAACATTAATGTATATTGGGCCCCAGCAGGCGTCACACCCACTTGCTATTGGTCAAAACCTGAAAGAACGAGGATGTCCAGACGCGGGAAAAGTAATGAATGAGCCGAGGTAATGCTATCAATCACACCCTGACTTTTGGGAGACAACTGGTGCCCTTCCCCGGCATAGATAAATCGTGCTTCTTGTCTGGGCTGGTGAACATTCCTCATATTTCTACAAGCATTTGTTTGCGTAAGAGAAATGTGGCTTTATTCAAGATCTCTTTGAATTAAGAAAGGAATACATCCGTTTGATAACTTTCTGAGATGATGAATTGACATTATTCTACACCGATCTATTTGAAGTGCTGCCAGTCTTAGTCACATGACTTCGACCGTTCTCCTCTCCGACTTTCTTTAGGTGTCTAATTTTATTCGGTAATGCCGTCGAATCCATGACATTCACTTACGCGCTAATACCCTTGGGAAAGGTATGACTCCTCTTCTTCTCTCCCAGCTATGGGTAAATAGCAGGACAGACCGGGTTCTATAGAATTGGATGTCAACTGGTCTACTGAAGAAAGAAATGGCAACTTACTGCGAGAAAAAATCTGCCTCGTCAGTCATGTATCCAAAGATACATGATCACCTAAACGTGTAACACGCATGGCACATAACTGACTGAATGATAATACTGAAAGGATATAAGTAGGGGAATCCTATTATCTATGAATTAATAGATCACCTGGCAATGGTTTCATGCATCCAAATAAAATTCTACCAATTCTACTTTGTTATTTGTAGGAGAGTTTTTTCTTTTACAACAAAGTCTTCCGGGGTCTGTCCCAGCTTGTCTTTGTCTCATCTTTATGAACGAAGATGAAAAAGTAATGATGCCTTTAATCAGAAGAGTATATAATGGATCCTACGAACCTCGTGTGAGAACAAAATGTCAAATACAGCACTACACTTTTGGAAATCCTTCTCTTATATTCTATGTATTTATCACCAGATTAATTGAATGGTTCATGTTTGCAGATCTCGTTCTGAGAGATCATTTCATCTAACCGACAATTAAACTAAGGTTCTTCCTGATGTCAAATGATGTTGTCGGCGTCAAAGCTTTGCCTATCCACTTGGCAGACAATCCAGAAAAATCTAGCTTTTTATTTACTATTCAAACACAAGCTTATAGTTAGCAATTATTTGCCACATATATGATATGAAATAGTACACATAGAAGGGAATAATTTAAGACCTGACATTTTAATAGAAGTGGATACACCCTTTTCTCAAATATGAAGTGAACACAACTTCAGTTCCAATTACCAGGCGTTCAACTTCGTTAAAGAAAAAAATATTTTTACATAAAATGATAAAAAAGCCCGAGAAATTTGATACTGACAATTCCAAAGAGAAACTATAGAAAGTGTTCCTTTAAATAAAAAGTGAAAAATCACGACTTAACGAGCAAAAAAGAAAATAAAAATTTGCTAAAATATATGGTAAAACAAATATTCTATCCGTCACGTATCTTTATTATTATTATTATTATTATTATTATTATTTCTGTTATGGATCCCAAGTCTGAAAAGACCTAAGGCTCGTGTGTGTTGTTATGATGTTACAAAATGAAGTTGCTAGCGTTACATAGACAAAGTTCTTTAGAAATGTGCTGTACTTAATAAGACAATTTTCTGTATGTCTCTTAAGCTGTTTCCAGGGATTCTTTCAATGTGTTGTTTTGTTCCATTTTTTATAATTCCAAGTGCACCTATTACCACTGGTATTATTCTTGTTTTCAATTTCCACATTTTTCTATTTCAATTTCCAGGTCTTTGTATTTTGATAGTTTTTCAAATTCCTTGGTTGCTATGTTACAATCCGCTGGACAAGCCATTATCAATTAAACTTTTTCTTTCTGGTTTTTGACAATAATGTCCGGCCTATTTGCTTCAATTTTTCTGTCTGTGTGGATGGTATAATCCCATAGAATGGTGACATCTTCTATTTCTGTAACCGGCGCTGGCCGATGTTCATACCAGTGTTTGCTTACACATTTTCCAAAGTGTTTGCACATTGTCCAGTGTAAGTATTGCCCCACTCTATCGTGACGATTTTTATATTCATTTGGGGGGGGAACATCCTGAGATTAGATGGTCTATTGTTTCTTGGTATTTGTCACAGAACCTGCATTTTGGATCCACATTATTAAATGATATTTGCCTGAAAATTCCTAGTGAAAAGACTGATATTGTGCAAAATAAAGCCTTCAGTTTCAGACTTTTAATCCAGATGCTCGTAACCATCGATGAGTATTAACTTTATCAACATTAATTTATTTGCACGTTCTGGATATTGGCCATGCAGAGGTTTGTCTTGCCAAATTCATCTGTTCAAGGGCTTTATCCTTGGCTTTCTTTTTTCATATCTTTTGCTGCAATAGTTGGTTCTTGGCTTCTGTTTTGATTTACTACAGAATCTACTAAATGTAAATGTTGTTTGTATTTACTGCCTTCATTTATTATTGAATATTTTTTCTTTCTGTTTTCATGTTGTTTCACTAATTTTATCATCCAGTCATTTGTTGTTTCCATGTAAGTTAAAAGAATAGTTGTTGTCTTGTATGACAATTCTAGCTGAATAAGACCTCTTCCACCTTCTTTACGGGGTATGTATTACGGTTCCTACATCAGCCTTTGGATGATGCATCTTATATCCAAAGAAAAACTTTTAGAATCCATTTGTCTGATGTCATTAAGTCCAGTTCAAAATGTTGAAAAATTGGACCACTGGGATGGCAAAAGAAAATAAAATTTTGCTGTTCTGAGAATTCAATTCAGTTTTTAATACCAGTCTATCCTTCTATAGTCACGTATTTCTTTCATTTTCTTATTGAATTCCTTCACTTATTTATTATTATTATTATTGTTCTAAATTTTTATTGTTACAAAGGGTCTAAACTAATAGAGGAAGTTTGTTGTAGCGATCCTTAGAAAACACATTTATCTTTTTTTATTATTTATTATTATTATTATTATTATTTTCTCAAACAAATTTAATAAAGATCTATCTTTTTCTAGCTTACTCATTTATTTAAGAAATTTAATAAAGAGATTTACAGAAATATATGCACTCTTAATTATCTGGATACTTATCAGAATATTTAGACAGAGTAAATGTTTAGATGTGACTCTTACAATGTGGCAAACTAATTCTAAATGATTTTTTAAGTTTCACATTTAAGCTTCACATAGGTCACCGAAATTCCTCAAAACATTTTGTCATAATTAAAAATTATTAAAAATGTTAATCTCTGAGGAGAAAATACAGTATTTTGGTGCACCTCAATTTGGAGCTAGTGTTCGTTTGATCTGCATATAGGATTATTTACTGCAATTTAGCAATATTCTACACTTAACTTTGATTAAACTGAAAATATGAAGTCAGTAATATTGTGAGACGCTGTATAAGCGTTCAGTTTATTGATTGATTTATTTTTGCGGCTTATCGATCTTTGCAGGTTATTTAAAGCAAGAAAATATTTTTAGATTTCTTTGGTGATATTAATGACATACGGATACAAATCCTATTAACTAACCCATAAATGGGGGAGAATAGGTGGATTCAAATCTTTCGAAAGTGGATTTGTCTGGATATAACGACCTCCACTGGAATTGAAACTAGTCCCTCCGATTTCCATTTCCGAGCCATTATCCATTACACCAACCGCCCATCCAAACTTACAGCTCCTGGTATTCCTAAACGGTCACCCATCTAGGTAATGAACAGGCTCGATGTTACTTAACTCCAGTGATCGTACGATAACTGGTATTTCAACTTGATATGGACGTAAGTGTTCAAATTTATGTATCTATTAAAAAATATATTGCATTATTTGTCAGATAATATCCGCTGTTTTAGATGCCTGTTAATAATAATAATAATAACAACAACAACAACAATAATAAACGGAGATAGGACCTGTTACAATTTTATGGGACTACGCAATACACACTGACAGAAAAATCACAGCCAAGCGCCCAGACATTGTTATTAAAGACCACAAACAAAAAAGTGCCTCTTTATTGATATGGCAGTCCCTGCTGACTGCAATGTATCTTTGAAGATATTCAAAAAGTTGTCAAAATACAAGGACATTGAAATCGAAATCTCAAAAATGTGGCACATGGGAACATCAACAATCCCTGTTGTAGTTGGAGTCCTAGGATTGGTCGGAAAAGATTGCAGTAGACTAATTGAAGGGATTCCTGGAAGTCTATGCCTCAAAGAGATACAAAAAATTGTTCTGACAAGTACTGCCCACACTTTACGAAGGGCTTTATCTATGTAATTTTTTTTTGTCAGTGGAAAGTGTCATGATGCCATATCTAACCTTAGGTCTCTGGGCGGGACCCGGAAAGAAATGTGTAAACGCCAGAAATCAAAGGAAATAATAATAATAATAATAATAATAATAATAATAATAACAACAACATTAATAATAATATTAATTATAATAATAATAATAATAATATTATACCCTCGTTTCGGATTATGCTCGCCTGTCAGGGTGGCTATTTAATCTCTCTTACAGACACCTGACCAGGCACATTTGCATCTCTTTAACACATACAGAAATAACTAGTGTTTTAGACAGAATCTAAGCTACCAATTTCACTCAAAAGATTGGATCAACACATGGTATTCGTTTTCAGGCTCATACCAACGTTGCTTCCAGCTGGGACCATTTCCACAGACAGATATTATCAAGAAGTCGCGTCTTTGAGAAGTCGACCCTGTCGAAACGGTAACGTTCCTAACCATTCGTTTACGCACCATTATTATAATAATGATTATTAGGTGCCTGCTAGTAGTCTTGGAACTTATAATTTAATAATGGGAGAACCTCTTAACAAAGTTGAAAAATGTGCAAAAAGTGAAGACGTGAAGATAATGAAGGTGGAAAAAACGAGTTTTAACTTTTCGAACAAGACACGTAATGTCTAAAGAATTTGAAAAAAAAATGTTAAAAAGAGGAAACAGCCACCCACAGAGAATGTCTGTGATTCTTCGACGTGAATTGTGATTAATTGTAGAATGGATTACTTTTTTGGATAATTCATAAATTGTATAATTTGTTCGAATCAAAATGAGGACATTTCTGCAGCCTCATTTGATTCTGATTTTAAAGCAGAAAAACAAAAATTCTCCCAATCATGAAAAATACAAGTACAACACACACACACACACACACACACACACACACACACACACACACACACACACACACATATATATATATATATATATAATAAAATATGTTCATCCATAGAATGAGTCATGTTTGAAGAAATTGCTAATAGTGTTTTCAATTCTCAGAATGGTTACTCATGTAAGCTTTATTCAGATTCGATAGCGTTTCTGTGACAAAACCAAGAACGGCTTAATCAGAGTGATTTTCACCATATTTATAACTCGTGTCCAGTGAGTTTTGATCCTTTACTAATTGTATGGAAGACTAGCAGCATAACTATTGTTCCGTTCCGAGTGGACTACCTTATTTAATCCTAAGAGGCAAATAATCACCGGGATTATTTATAGAATGTCGCCGACTGTGAAGCAGAGACGTAAACGGTATGGAAGGAATAAAATAGGAATAGATAAGAGATACTAAAATGACACATGCAAACTTTTGATAAAAATAATTAAAAATGTTAAACAACTTCCAAAATTAATTCTATGTTTGTTGTCATATCATTTTACGATGGTTTAGCTTTGACTAACTTCATTAAAAACGACGCTTTTGAATTCTTGTGACAGATTTCATATTACTGCATGAATAAATCTACTATCGTTCACACCGGAGACGCGATTTATACCGAAGACTGAAGCGAGTGGAGGTGAAACAAAGGCCTGGCGCCGGGGAAGAGCTTTCTCGACGGAAAGAAAACAAAGTGACATAGGAGAAGAGCGTCTTCAAATGCCTTAGTTGCAATTGAGACTGTCACTCCCTTGTGGGCCTGTACAGTCATAACAGATGCTGCACCCAAATCAGAAGCTAAGATATAACTCTTTTGGGCGTGGATCTACGGTTTCTCGAAATCGACGGTTGCCACAAACGCAAATCTACTTAAATTAGTGAATTTTGTTTTTTTTTCTTTCTAGCACTGTAAATAGAAGAAAATAAGAAACATTTACAGCACATATATAAGGTCACTGCGTAATGTTGTATTAGTTGCCCCAGTGTCTGGTTATAGATTACTAAAACGGTCTCCCATCAGGCTTTTCCGGTGTGGAGGATTACTAGACATTCAACAGGATTAAAAACAAGACCAAAGGGCGAATGAACCTACGTGCAGAGTCAACGACCATCTAGAAATATGGAGTTGACTACGTCCCATAGCAATGAGTGCAATCACTAGGGTGATGACACAAGATCGCTGAGCGGAGGTGCTTCCTAGACTGAGTTCAGTGGACAGAGTAGAAGGTTTTGGTAGAATCATCGGCCAAATGCCGGAGCCTTCAATTTGTAGGACATCGGTTGTAGTTTGAGCTGGAGAGGGATAGGCTCCGTCAGGTTTACTTGCCTAAGATAAGCTACTCAAGAATTAACTTGTCCAGCTTATCAATCGAAATATATGAAAAGATCTGGTTTTGCGCTCAACTGCGCAGCGACTCTACGATGACGATTTCAGTAATTTATGCGTTTTAATTTTAAGAAAGGTAAAAGTTCAAATGCAAAATAAATTTGCAGAATAGAGCAAGTACAGTGAGTAATGGAACGTGATAAAAATGTTTTATAACATTTCCCGCGGCAGATTTCTCGCTGATCTCGAGTAATCCAGTTTGTCTATAGTGATCAAATAACGAGGTTATTTAGAAATAAGCAATGTGTATATTCAAATCAACCAGTGAAAATCATTTTCACTTGATTGTTTATGTTAGTCGCTTTTGTGTGTAGCTTCCCATTTAAAACAAAGATGAAAATACGACTGAAATACAGAAAATTATTTCTGTAATTTATATAGAAATTATTTCGAATGGTCGAACCTATCAAATGAATTAAGCAAAGGACCCATAAATAATCGCAATAAAGACTGTCATGCTGTGTATATAATAGGATTAGAGCTTTATATGATGTACGGTGGTGTAGCGATTGCTATGTTTTTCCACGCCCACATTTTATTCGTCTGCGATTGGGTAATAAATCAATAGTACTTTTCTATAGGACAATTTAGCCATCGCCGTCATTTCTTTGAATCCTTCGGTTTTGAGCTTGCTTGCCTGTTTTTTTAGTACGAATGTAGCGATTGGTTAATTTTTAACCAATCACATTTTTTAGTACAAGATTAACCTTTTCCCGCTCTTCCGTGGGAGCCTATTCTTTTTCCTTAAAAGTGGCGACTTTTTCACAAGTCGTCAGTAAGTTTCGCCTGTCCAAACGAGTCCATGATCTTACTCATAACATTTCAAACTCACACACGGACATAGAATTTTGTAATATAAACTCATACTTCTCTCTGTGACTTAGCCAAGCTCAATCAACCAGAACTCTGTTAATTTCGAACCATTCTAAAAAAACAACACATTTTTGTGTTCAATTGTATTCTTGTGTTATCTATTCTAACAAACATATCTTGTTCTAATATTGATTCCTGAACATCTTTCTCTCACGAGAACTTCTTTCGAACAATCAATTACAAATCAAAATACAATTAAAGAGGAACAACTTCTTTCCCTTAATCTATACATTGAATGCAATTTTATTGCATGTTTTTTTTTCCTTGTATGTTATTTCAATATATATTTCTTGATTCACATTTGGAGTTTTTGTTGTTTGCTTGAATTCTGTACGTTGAAAGTATAATAATATAAATAGTATTGGTCCATCTACCCACTGGGCCATAACAGTGTATTGTTAAATACACTATAACAATTGTAAAATGTCTATAAAACGAAATAATTGTTTCCTTACATACGTAAATTAAAAGGGAACTATATATATATATTTGTTTTGATGTCTCTTTTATGTTTTCTCCTTATGTAAAGAGACATATGTCCCAGATTGGATACTGACAAATAATATGTATTCATACGCAAAATGATTGCAAACACTTTGTAGTGGGATAAACTCTCTTCCTAAAAGTCTTAGATTATGTAGATTTTTTCGGCCCTCTTTGGTAAGCGACAATTAATATAAATGCACAAAAGAAATGATTTAATCTTCTTTACATTTCGATAATTTTGTCCATTGATTAATAGAACAGTAACTGGAAAATTAATCACTGAAAAAGGAAACATGCATTTCTTGTTTGATTTTCTTTTTCTTTTTTATTTTTAAAATAAGGCCATTTTATCAGCGGATAGCGTTTTTCTTTTGATTGATATCTTCATTGTTTGTTTTAGTTCAAAATTTCAATGGCGACATCTGCAAAGTTCATCAAGTTCTGTTCTGTTTTTATAAGAATGACGCGAAAGGCATGAACGCGTGCAATGCTAAACATCAGTTCAGTGCGACCATTAGGAGAAAGCAGATGCCAGGATTTGCGTTGTGGTGTAATGGATATCGGCTCGTAGTGAGAACTCGGAGATCCGAGTTCGAATTCTAGTCGAGCTCTTTGGATTCACTTACGCACAAATACCCTTAGGAAAGGTATGAATCCATCTCTCCCCCAGCTCTGGGTTGAATAGCAGGACAGTCTGGGTTCTTTAACCTTGCTTGGCAACCAAACTACTGGAGAAAGAAATGTCAACCAACTGCGGGAAAATATCTGCCTCGTCAGTCATGTATCGAAAGATACATGATCACCCAAGTGTGTATTACGTATGGCAACCTCGAAAGTGAAGTAAATG